TTCTGTGAGGGTTTCTGAGAACTGTTTCACCCAGAGTCATGTTTTATTACTTACGAGACAACCCTATGTCACATCAGTTTGTTTTATGGATTACACACCAAGGCGAGTTTTTTAAAAATTTTGTAAAATAGTTGACTTACCTTAGGTAAGCAAAATTGAGCAATATTTTTGTTTGGGTTAGCAAACTACATCTCTTTGTAAAACAGTTTAGATATGGGGAGGTGCCAACAAAGTGTAGGAGTTTCAGTGTTGGACTATGACTCTGGAGATCAGGGTTTCATTCCCCACTCTTGCATAAAAACCCGCTGGGTGTTCTTGGGCAACGATTGAGATATTGATGTAAACTTCCCTGAGACAGAGAAGTACTCCAATAAAAGAAATACAGTCGCCCCTCCGTTCTCGTGGACTTCCACATCTGCGGTTTTGCATATTCATGGAGGGGCGACCTCCGTTTAAATTAATGGGACGCGTCCCGCCATTCAAGCCTATGGGGCATGAATATTTGTGAATCTCCATTTTTGCAGGTGTGTGTGTGTCTCCGGAATGAATCCCCAGCGAAAACAAAAGGTATCAATGGATTTTTTTATTCACAGATTCAACAATCCACAACCTGAAAACATTCAAAAAAATAATATAAATCCCAAAGCAAACCTTGCTTTTGCCATTTTGTATTAAGGCCATCATTTCACCATGCCATAGTATTTAATGGGAATTGAGCATTCATGGATTTTGGTATCCGGAGGGGCGGGGGGTCCTGGAACCAAACCCCAGCAGATACCAACGGCTGTAATTTTTAAAAAGTGAGCTACAAATCAACCTTCCCTAACCTGGCGCCCTATCAGTGTTTGGACTGCAGTGCCCATAATTCCCCATCAGATGACTGGGAATTATGAGAGTTGTAGTTCAGTGCATTGCGAGACCCTGGAGAAATGCTGCTTTATATGCCATGTCTTAGATGATGTAAAGCTGTGCCTTTAAAAACCACGGTTTAGTCAAAGATTCAAATGAAAACGTTAATGTCCTGTCTGCAAATCTGTTAGAATCCCATCAGGACAAAAATTGGACAATTTTCTCATTAGTGGGTGTTTTCATTTTGTTATATATTAGGTTTTTTGGGGGGTTTTAATTTTTTTTTTAAAAAAAAAAGGCTGTCACCTGCCCTGTTCCCTTGGGACAGGGCTGGGTATAAATTAAATGAATAAAGGATTGGCCAGTGCCAAGGTCCTCTGTTACACTTAAGAGGGGTTGAATAAGAGATCCATCTCCATTACTGTGTTCCCTTTTCAAAAAGACAAGTTAATGATGGGTGACCAACCAGCCTTTTGTGAGTCTACTCTTGCAGCCCTTCTTCTCAGGGATGCTGCTCGGTGTATGGAATTTGGAGAAGGGCCACCATGCATATGGCTAAAAGGATTAGTCTGTTTATGCATGCTAGAACTCTGGAAACAGATGGCCAATTCAGTGTGCCTCAGTGTGTGCGTGTGCGCGCGTGTGTGAGAAAGATCTTATCACAGATTTGCTGTCTTTTGTCCTCAGTTAACTGCTCTGTCATTTAACTGCATTATCAAAGTTTGGAATATTCATTTGGGAAGCACACTGCACTAGATGTTAACTTGAGGTGCATGTGTGAGAAAGAATTATATTGCCCCTGTAAGTTAACCCATGAAGTCAGACGCTGTATTGACACGAGAGTGCTTTTTATTTTTTAGCTATGTTCCTTCCATGAGATAATTTGTGAGTATATGATGGAAGAACTCTGTTCAGCGGAGGCCATATTGCTTAATGGTGTGCCTTGTTGTCGTTATACTTTGTTGTTGTTGTTGTTGTTGTGCACCTTTCGGTTTTAGCAGCCCTAAGGCGAATCTGTCATAGGGGGTTTTCTTAGCAAGATGTGTTTAGAGAGGGGGTTGCCTTTGCCTTCCTCTGAGGCTGAGAGAGTGTGATTTGCTGAAGGTCACCCAGTGGATTTCCATGGCTGAGTGGGGATTTGAACCCTAGTCTCCAGAGCTGTAGTCCATCATTCAAACCACTGTACCATGCTGGCTCCCTAGTCTAAATGATTTTTGCATCACATTCAAAGCATTTAGCATAAACCGCAGCAGAGAATGGATCTATGTGTGTATGTGAAGTGAACCCTAAGGAACATGTAGCTGCAGTTTCACTCATTCTTAGCTGGATTTCCAGAACATGATGCATTCTTGCAAGGACATCTGTGTGCAGATATTTTGACCTAAGTGATGCTCATGTACATTACAAGGAGATGAAATAGGTTACCACAGAAGTGTAATCATTGGGCATGAACCTTTCAAGACCTCAGGTGTGTTTTATTTCTATAGTCCTATTGACTTATTAAGCCAAGATAATTAATTAATTAAAGATTGATATCCCGCTGTTCTAAGTGTATCCACATTAATCAGAGATGTCCAGAAGGCTCAAAATGCCACATCCATATTAAAACAAAACAATATAAACCCCTGAACTATATAGGAGGAGGAGGAGGAGAAGATCTGGGTGTTGGTGAGGTAGGTGCTGCTGGCAAACTGTCTGCTTCACAAGCAGTAGAACTATAGTTGTCCCTTTGTTTTTGCGGACTTGAAGTCTGCGACGCTTACTTATCTGCGAGGGACGAACAAAGGGGCACAAAATGGGGTGCACCTCCTTGGACACGCACCTCCATTCAAGCCAATAGAGCTTGAATATTTGCGTTTTTCCTTTTTCACGGGATGGTGGTGGTCCAGAATGAATCCCTCGTGAAAAAGGAGGGGCGACTGTAATATCAGAAAATAAGATGTTGTGGTGTACTAGGGTTGT